ATGGGCACCAGAAGCCCACATAATGTGCTTCGGCCTGGTCATATGCTCTAGGAGTGAACATGTATTCAGGCTTATGTCAGCAACAGTAATGGTTATGTATTTGGAAGCAGGATGACAAAAAAATTACTGAAAATCATCAGAGGGGTTAACGAGAACATTTCCATCGAGTGTGGCATACACTCGTACTTCGGGCCAGTATTGGGTAAGTTATTATGGGCTCTATTGATATTCAGGGTGACCCTGTTCTTAGCCCATAAAGAGTCAGCGTGGTGGGACTCTAAATGTAGGGCTCGCTCCTAAAACGGTCAGTTTCAAGGAGCTTTATTTGGCCTAAATTTATCAGTCTCCGTTGTTGGGTCCATCGGGCCCAATTGGTGTGTTAAAGGAAGAGTAATCTTATATTGGATTGTGATCGTTGCTTGCTCATCCAACAGTCCAGATTGAGTCAAGGTTCAACAAAGATAGGCAGCAGGGCCTGGACTATGCCACATGGGAGGATTTCATGATAATGAACCAAAATACAATGGAGATTTTTAGTCCTTTTAAGTAAATGTACATAATGTTAAAGAATTTTTTTGGAAAATAACATGATGTTGACCACCTTACCAATGATCATATCTCCAAGTTCAAGGAGGCCCTTAGCTTTGTTTTCATAATTATGTGGAAGTTAACAAGTGTTAACATGTAGCACCATCAGATGAGGAGATTGGAAGCCATTGATGGTGTCGACATGATCAATAGTAGATAGACCATACTTAATGGGGGTGCAATAGATATCAACACTAAAGAAGATCTTATGGCTACAATATGATCTTTACATCTAATGCCTCAAATTAGTGTGGGAGAAAACCAACTTTCATTTCATCTTAGCTAAAAGGATGTATTGACCTTTACTTACTCGTAGCCCTAGATCCGATGGTCTAGGATGAATCAGGTCACAAAAATTGCTAGATCAGCCCTACACATGTACCTAGAACCTAACTTTTGATGCCCTGATGTTTAGCTGGCTTGCAGGAAATAATATTAAAGTTCTAGATCAATCTTGATGTGTTTTTAGTCAATTTAAGTGTTGGTTCACATTCTAGATCATAGGAGAAGCTTCTTTGAAGAGAAAGCTGCCTAATCTTTATGAAACATAAGGCCCAAGGTAAGTTTTTCTTGATCTAATGTGTTCTATGCATGAATAGAAAATTTAGCTACTCGTAGCCTTAATTAGGATTTCGATTTGGTGTTTTGGTCCTACCATGAGTGTGTATCCCCCTAATTTCATCACGCACCTGTGAATTTCCATTTCTCCCACTCTTGGATTGTAGAGTCTCCTTTTCATCCTCCCTCTATTCCTCATCCTTTCTCTTTTCTTTCATCATATATCAATTAAATATAATAGTAGCTACATAGCACCTAATCCTCATTCCCCATGGATTAACCTAAAACTTGTCACAGTACTTAATTATATTGTATTTCAATTGGTGAAATTTAGGTTTATAAGTATTTTGATTGACTCATTTTGAGGTATTTCAACAACCCTCGATCATATTTTACCAATGTTCAAGGCAGATAAAAGAAAGAGGGTGGCTTGTCTTACTCATTGAAAAAGAAGTAGGTGATGTCACTTTTAGGGTAATAAAAACAAAAAAATAATTGGATGTGGAAAATGTACATATCAACTAACAAAATGTAATCCAAAATATCATGCTAGTAAAAAGAGTAAATCATAAATTACTTAGTGTTAGCCAATTATATGATAATGGATATTGAGTAAATTGTGAACTTAATTATTTTCATATTTTTAATTTTGAAGGGAAGATCATACTCCTAGGGGAATTAAAATTTATATTACTTTATTTATTTATTTAATAGAATCAAATGTATATTTATTGACTCATGTTTTGCATACATGATGAAACTATGCCATAAATGTTTGGGTCATGTTAGTTCAAGAACCATAAGAAAACTAGGATTAGATCTAGTATAAAGGAATTACCAGTCTAGAATAAATAATTTCATTGTCATGCATGCACTAGAGGAAAATTGGTTATAGGTCACATAAATTTAAAGATGTGATCATGTATAAAGTCATACATCATGAAACCATGGCATAGATGTTTGGGTCATGTTTGTGCATGAAACATAGGAAAACTACAAAGATTAGATCCAATATAAGGAATGACCACTCTAGAATAAAGAATTTGATTATGATGCGTGTACTAGAGGAAAACTAGGTATAAAGTCACACAAATTTAAAAATATGAGCACAAAAAAGAAAACTTACTCAAGATTTAAAGATATCATCACTATGATCTTGTTAGACCAAAAAAGGTATCTAGTCAAAGTAGAAAAAGATATGGATTTGTAATTGTTAATGATTACTCAAGATTTACCTAGGTATTCTTAGAAAATTTACTACTCTAAAAGAATTTAGAAAGTTTAACAAGAAAATAGAAAATGAGAAAGATTTGAAAATTAAGAGAGTCAAGAGTGATGATAGTGGAGAATTTGGAAAATCTGAACTTCTCTTAATTCTGTGATGATAAAGAAATATCTCATGAACTTTCTAATGCTAGGGCACGTCAACAAAATGGAGTTGGTGAGAGAAAAAGTTAGAACTCTTCTAGATAACTGTAGGACTATGTTAATATAAAAGAATTTACCAAAATAGTTTTTGGCCAAAGTAATAAATATAACCCACTATACTATGAAAATAATTGTTGTTAGACCAATCGTTAAGAAAACACCATATGAGTAATTCAGAGAAAAGAAAACTAAATGTTGGTTACTTCTGATCATTTGGGTGCAAATGATCATTCTTATTAAATCGTAGGAAATAAATAGGAAAATTTGATCTAAGAAATGATGAAGGAATTTTTCTATGATATTGTGAAGATTCTAAGTCTTTTAGAGCATATAAAAAAAGAATATTAGTTCTAGAAGAGATAATAAATGTTAAATTCATTGAATAAGATGACAAAAACAGCCCTATAAAAGATATAGAATAATTGTTGGAAATTGAATTTCAAGAAATACCAATTGGTGATAATGCTAAACTTGTTGAATTGAAAGAAAGTTTAGAAAAAGAGACTCTTCCAAGATAATGGAAGTATGTGAGAAGTGATCCAACAAATCAAATCTTAGGAGATGTCGAAAGAGGGGTTTAAACAAGATCTAAACTGAAGAATTATTAAAATTTGAGAGCAGTGATTTATGAGATCTAGCCAAACAATGTAAGTTAAGTATTGGATAATGAAAATTTGCCTTATAAAAAAGAATGCTTGGTGTTTTTGTACCTAGAATAGATGAAATGTCTTTCATCAAAACTAATTGAGTTTCAAAAATAAATGAAATGAAGAAAACAAATTCATTAGAAATAAAACTAGATTGGTAGCACATGGATGTTCACAAATAGAAGAATTAGACTATGATGAAACATATACACATGTGGCACAACTAAATGCAATTATAATATAGCTTATGCATGCCATAAAATATTATTTTAAAATTCAAATGAAAGTCAAGAGTGTATTCCTAAATAGAGAAATTAAAGAGGATGTGTATTTAAGTCAATTAGTATTTCAAAATGTAGAACATCCTGAGCATGTTCTCAAAATTACTAAAAGCCTCGTATGGACTTAAGCCAGCTTTGAGGGCTTAGTATGCGAAATGGCATCATTTTTACAGGAGACTAATTCAATTGAGGTAGTGATAACACTATATTCAAAAAAGGAAAAAAATGATCATATACTCTTAGTTTAAATGTATTTAAATGATATATTTTTTATTCTTTAGATGAAAATTTATGTCTAGAATTCTTCAAACAAAAGAAAAATGAATTTGAGAAAAGTATGATAGGCGAACTTAGTTATTTCTGAGGATGGTAAATAAAATAATTGAACTAATAAATATTAATTTCTCAAACAAAATATGCAAGAGAAATTCTAGATAAATATAGTCCTATATATGGAAAACAAAAGAGAACATTCATGGATAGAAAGATCAAAAGTGATGTGGACACCGAAGGAAAAATCTATGATCATTTCTATATTTAACGATAGATAGAATGGATATAATCTTTAGTGTGTCTATGTGCTAGCTTTCAAAGTGAATCAAAAGAGTTACACATAACTACTGAAAAAGAATAGTTAGCTATATTACGTGCACATCTACTTTGGGAATCTAGTTTCTAAAACAATGCAATATGAACTTAGTAGCATATACTTTATGGGTTTAAACATGGCTGAAGGACTACTAAGTCAAGTTAGAAAAAGTTTCTAAAACAATGCGATATGAACTTTATGTATGTAAAGAGAACTTTTTGGGTTTAAACATGGCTGAAGAACTACTAAGTCAAGTGCCATTAATTTAGAAATGAATTCTATCACTTTATTCTAAAAAGAGCACATAGATCTCAAACAACATTTTATTTGGGATCATGTGAATGATAATGATGTGGTTTTAAGTTTTACCGAAACTCAATTTCAATTGGCAGATATCTTCACTAAACTATTAAGTGGCGAAAGGTTTGAGAATCTTAGAGGGGAAAGTGGAATGGGCAGTGAACATGAGTTTCGTAATACCAATTAACCATATATCCTGAAATATGAACTTTCTAATTGGTGAAAACTAGATTGAAAAACAGAATATATTTATCCACTCATGCATACTATCAAGTGTCCGGCAGAAGCTAATTATGTGGGTTTCTTGGGCCCATTCTTCAGATATTAGGCCCGTTAACAAATCTAAGGGCCCGGGGACTTTGAACAACTAATCAGTGCACTGGAATCATTTTATTTTCCACATAAAAGTTGTGGATAAATTTAAACAGTAATGAATGTGACCCATCATGTATCCACCAGTGTGAAGGAGATCTCTCTCTCTCTCTCTCTCTCTCTCTCTCTCTCTCTCTCTCTCTCTCTCTCTCTCTCTCTCTCTCTCTCTCTCTCTCTCTCTCTCTCTCTCTCTCTCTCTCTCTCTCTCTCCCCCTCCCTCCCTCCCTCCATTCTGGGCTATGGAGGAGGCTGGTTTCTTAGAGTCAGGAACGGTCTGAAAGTCAAGAGAATGCCAATGAGCTCAACTACGTTCAGTGCGACGAAGACCGTCTGATCACCTGCATAACAGAAAGATGTGGCTCGCATTGATACCATGATTCTAGATAGCTATAAGGACCCAGCAGCTCAAATATGAACACAATGAATGGTCAGATGACGAGCCAACTTCTAGTTAGATACCATCAGTTGTGAAGGCGAATATATATAAGCACGTTTTATATATTGATTATGAGGTTATTTCTGGATCATTACCTGGAAGAAACGAAGCAGTCTGGCGTTTCTGGGCCCAAGAAAGTCTGCGCACAAGCAAATTAAGGACTGAATCAAACTACCAGCATAATTATTTCTTTGTTTTTTTGTGATTTTGGGTGATCAAAATAGCATTCCTATTAATTTTTTGAAAAATAACTAACTCTGAAAGCACACTACTTTTATCCTGAATAGCATCCCCAGCGGAGAGCACAAAATCACTCAACCAGGAAAATTCATTCTTCAAATAGAAAATCATCAAAATCCATGGGTCCTCCCAAATAAAGTAATCTTCAGGGACTGCGATAAGAATAGTAAACAGGAATCTGTTCTTTTATATGAAGAGAAGAAAATTCATCTCTGGGTTAATACCTAAATGAGTGGGAATGGGAGAGACACATGATTTGTTATCTAAGAAATAAACTAACGGACTGAATTTATTAATTTCAAAGTCCGCCATGCCCTCTTTCCATTTTGCACCTCTCAAATACACCTCCGATTCAAAAATCTCTGCCTTGAGAGTACTTCCCAAAAGCAAAGCAGAGAAGTACCCAAGGTCACAACAGTTGCAAACTTCGGCTGATGAAATTCAGTCCGTGTTATTACGTTCAGGGAGAGAAATACCAATTGGCAAAAACAGTGGTTAAGGTACTCACAGTGTACCTCCGCCTGCTGGGGCTACAGCTTGGAAGAGAGACGTCAAGGTCGTAGCTATGCCATTTGCAGCTCCCCTTTGGTGTTGTTCCTGATGTCGGACCAAAAAAGAATCAAATATTCGGTGAAATAAGTTTTTTACGTTGGAGTCTTGGATCGAGGGAACTAAGAAAATTTTTAAATTATAAAATGTGAAGATATAAAATTACCACAGCGTTGTTCTGAAGCATGATCGTTCCGATCATGACGATAATCTGATCGAAATTGAAAATACAGCCTAATGAGAAATTTGAACTTCAAAAAATGCCAACTCTCACAGAAGATCACACAGCGTATTGGATGTTAAATATGAAAGAGAGGTGACGACAGACAGCGTTCATTTAAATGATTTTTCGACAGCAGTCATCTATAATCACATTCGATGTATATTTGATCAATTAATCTTATCCGTTGTGCCTGTACAAGGGTATTTTTATGATTTATTGGGTATTGTCCGAATCAACTTCCTCACTGAATTTTCACCATTCTCCGAAAATTGAAAATTCTGGACTCAATTCAAGTGTCAGATAGAAGAAGAATACATGAGTCATCATTCTTGATGATTTGTGCAAACTAAGGCTCCAGCATGTTTGACTTTGGTTCAGATTTCAAAAAAATCTTAGATTCAGGTTATGACCGTTCCTCGGGGGACTATCACACATCTCTCTTGTACTATGCACACGAAGGATTCAATCAAACTAACGATCTTGGCATAGAGATGACGTTGAAAAGCTTTGATCTAGTAAAAAGCGAAATAAAAATTCAGATCACACCAAATGGACAACCTCAACAGCTAAAACATGTTAAATCAGATGTTTTAGCTAAAACTACGCATTGTGGGCACTTCAACATAACAGGGGACGCATGATTACCAGGTATTCCTTTTTTCCATCGAAATATCAGAACTCCTTTACTCTGAAAAGCAATCTCGACATGGCATTCGACTAAAAAGAAATCAAAACGTACTCTTGTTCTGTACTCACTGAATTAGATTATTATATTTTCCCTTTCTCCTTGATTGCATCTTAAATATTCATTATGAGTATTGTTCGCACAAAGAAAAAGTGATGAAATGTTTTCACCTATTGCACTAGAAAAGAGAAAGGAACTCAAGTTGAGCTGAACTCACAGCCAAAATATTCTTCAACGAAGATGCAAAATTCACAACCACGAAAAGTCCAACGCCAGATAGATTTGCAAAAAGGGGATAACTAGATAGGAGTGGAATTGACAGAACCTGTAGTGAGAACCTGTAGTGAGATAGAATCTGAAAAATAAAATAAATATGAAATTTAAAATAAATAACAAGAAACTGTATAATTCATACCCCTGCAATTCGAGATGAAACAACTGGACCAAGCAGTCTGTCAAGGGGAGGGTAGAAAAATAGTTGAAAGACAAGAAGACTAAAACCTGAGAGAAAAACTCAATTAGTCCATCTTCCAGAAAAAAACACATACACACAATGCACAGGGACATGGATTTTTAGTGAGAAAGTTGACATTTAAAAATGAATTCAGCTGAACTATGATTTTTGCTTTATAAACTAGAAATTCAAAGATTCATAATCAAATGATAAAGCTGTGGTAGATGGTCCATAGTGTCAATGCCCAATGAGCATCAGGATGTTCGAGTTAAGTTACATTTAAATATTTTAAATCTACATATATATCCCTCCATAATTTTGGGGTCTCCTTAAATATTAACTGGTCCAAGTCAACGCTGAGCAGAAACTGGCGAACAAGTACGATTTGAAGAAATGCTCAGTTTCTCTACGTATAAAAACAATATTATATCGACTTATCTTCTCCATACTTAACTCGAAGCATGCACCTATGGAATTCAAGAAATGATATGTGTGGGCCTTTGAGCCAAAGAACGAGCAAAGGAACTTAGCTTTTGAACCATATTAAAACATCCTTCTGAAACTCAGATGCCTAAACTGGAGAGCTTAATTGGCTGTAAATATGTAACCCAATGTCAACCTCCAGATTTATTTTAAAACAACGAACATTCATGACAACATCCTTGAACATCTCTGGAGCACCTACTGGGAGCGAGCACCAATTTCCACTGAGCATCTGTTCCTGCCCTTCACTTTTTACACGCTAGCTTCAAGTCATGGGACAAAGGCTGTAGTGTTCTGCTGCAGAGGCCTTTAAATGATTGTTTGGCATACATTAATTAAATATTATCATTATGGAGCATCCAGCAAAAAAGAACTCTACTGAGTGATTAATCGCGCGCAACATTTCCTTACTAATTGAAATTACTGATGTGGGACTACTCCAGTAATGGGGAGAATGTCATGTGCCTAAACAGGTAGGCAAGAGAGTAAGGTGGCGCTCCAAGTGTCAACTGAAACCCAATTAGTCTTTAGCTGGATACCCAAAATAAAAATACATACCCAGTGCTACATGACAATAATTAATACTTCGTGCATACTTCAAATATGCAAAGTGAACATCCCGCACTAATCGCAAAGAAATGATACGGCTAGATCAATAAAAAAACATTATTTATTCCCACGAATGCTTGTCACCAATTCCAAACATACAGCATAACAGAAATTTCAGTAGCATAACAACATAATGGCCTTCTAGTAGTCAATATGAGTAAAAATCCAACATTATCTTTATCCTGAGACCAAGTATACCTGATATTGCAAGAACCTGGCCAACATCTTCCGTGGAAAAGCTCAGACCTCCATACTTTCTATCACTTTCAGCCCAAAGGGAGAAAATCTACGAAATCAATGACTTGACGTAAGAGCCATATGGTTATTAAACGACAATCTATCATCACTATAATGTTTACATGGACATACTACAGCTTCATCATTATGAACAGTATGCAAGTTACTCTCTGTGTGCGTGTTGGTGGGTGGGTGGGTCGGTGGGTGTGTGGGGGGGGGGGGGGGGGGGCGTAGTGAGAGGTACCTCAGTGTAAGCCATATCATGAAAGGAGAAAATACAGTAAATGATGATGGATGAGATTAAAGGCCAATTCTTGAAGAGGCTTTCTTCAGATCGATATTTCTTCCTTTCGCTCTGTTCATCCTTCAGTTTGAAATCAAAGCCATCTTGAGAAGCCTCAAGAGAATCACAAGATATATGTTCTCTAGTTTCTTTGTGGGTATGCAATGTTTCCTGCAAAAAGGTGTAACACAATAATAAGAAGAATGTCATTGCCGGTTGTAAGGAAAATGAAAGAATAGTAGTATTCAGCAAGACTGCTATGTAAAAATCTCACTTGCCCGCTAATCTATATTTACTAAAAACATAAGCACATAGAATTAAGATAAAGAAGTTAAGTTGTTAACTGGCTTTAGGCCCCGATAAACTCAATCCATTGCTAATAAGTTCTTACATTCTCCTGTTAGGTTTTACCCCGTAAGCCTGATGTAAGGCAATGAAAGGTCTTGTGACATATCATTGACTTACTATGTTTTATGTTCAAGCTAAACATGAAATTAAAAGAGGCCACCAGACATGAAAGTTGATGGTATAGTCGAGACCAATCACTAGATCAAACATCTTTAAAGGAAAGGCCAAACGATATAGCTACATCATGGTAAATGAAAAAGTTTACCACAATTCAATATATAGATGCCTATAGTAAAAAAAATAGATATTGATCAAATTACGAGAACTAGTGTTATGTAGAGGAAAGTTCTAACTTACAGGAAGCCAAATACAGGCAACCAATACACCTACTGCAATGAGGGATATACAGAGGCAAGGTAAGAAATATGGAAACCTACACAACAAGAACGCCACCATTTAGTATAGGAACAAGTCATTTATCAAGAAATCCAATAAAAACGCTCAAAAATTTTCACCTTCCAAAAATTGATTCCTTAGAAAATAAATTTGGATACTTGTCCGCAGGCTGTCAAAAATGGACAGATGAGGTTAAGGAAATAGGTTCATTACATCGAATAAAATATCAAAACGCTTAAATACAACAAATTCCCATACTGTCACAGATAGAAAACTTGTCAAGGAAAATTCAGCTGGATGATACAATTACTAATCACCTTGATCAAGATTTCAACGCATAGATTATCCTAAGTCTTTTTCTAAATGCAGATGACTTATCAGATATTCAAAACATAGAAGAAAATGTATTCTATTTTTATTCGCTGTTGGGATATCCAACAATAAATTAGGCTAATATGGTGACGAATACCGCGATATATTTTCAGAGATAAATTCCTAAAGGTATCTCCTTTTAACATATATATCCTTTCACTATTATTTAGAGATCTTAGATTTTTAAGGAAGTTGTATTTTCTGTTACTATTTTTCACTCCCCTTTTTGGTTACCCTTTTCCGGGCCATGTTTAATTTGAGGACTCATAAACATAATAGAAGATCAGAGCTCTACTAAATCGATGCAAAAAATACATTTATATATAGAGACTTTCAAGAAAAAGTTGTGCACATTGCCCATCTGGTTACTCTATTTAAGAATAAGTATGCAGGTTGAAGAATGCTCTATATGAATTAAAGCAATCTCTGTAAGCCTGACTTAATGGACTTGGAAATGTAGTGATCACTTTTGACTATGAGCATTGGAATGTTGATTTACAAAATAGCAAAAATAAAAGGTTTTGTAACTCGATTGTTTATGATAATGATATTTGGTGATTAAAAATTATGTAGAGATTAAACTATTAAAGTCAAAGCTTGCTAAGGAATATGAAGTCGAAGATCTTGGTAACGTTCAGTGCTTTCTTGGCCTTGAAGTAGCGAAATATAATAAAGGGTTTACATATCTGATGAAAATATGCATTAGATCTTCTGAGAGAGATTGGTACACTTGGGTATAAACTCCTATTTTGGAAAACTCTTATTCTGAGGGAGATCACTTTTGAATATGAACACTGGTAAACTTGGGTATACTTGGACCTACAATAGAAGTATCATCTCTAGCTCCGCCTATGGTATCTGGGAGGAAGATACTGCTCCATTGATCCAAAACCTATGAAAAACTTCAACTCTCAATATAAAAACGAGAGAATGGTGTATAAGTTTTGATATGAAAGAGTTTCTAATCAGTTTTCAGTATTGCCTATTGGAGAGCAGGAGAACAGTAAAAACTACCTGCTCAGATGTGGGGATTACTAGGTATGAAATTTTTCTAAACAGAAACAAAGCAGAAAAACATCAGTGGGCAGTAGATGTACCTGTGCAAGGTAACCTCCAATTGCAGGGCCGAAAATCAGTCCTATGCTCCATGCAGTAGTAACCTGAAAAGAAGTAAACTGTTAAATGGCCCGGGACCATTCAGCAAAAAAGTTAATCATACAAAACAATAGAGATTAAATTAAAAAGACGGGAAAAAATTCTACACCAATGCAACACTGGATACAGTCAACACAGCACAAATGCAGGTAACCTTCTGGGAAAATTGTCAGCAACAAAATTCACACACATCGTGGGGATGTATGGAGACATCTAATGCGATGCCACAATCTGTTATGGTGCTTGCCGGTGGACCACAGAGCAAATTTTCATCTTTTCCAATTCCATCTGTGTGTCTGTCTCTTCTACGGACACTGATATTTCTACAAGTAGGTCAATAACTCTCAGCGATTCAATTTATTCCTCACAAAGAATCCTTCCAAAATTTTGGGAGCGTCTCCATTTGATATCCTCTGGCGATTTGATGCTATTTCATAATACTAGATTTATCAAGTACTTTTATAGAGGACATCTGCAACTTTACTATCCCAAGTATTTTAAACCCATGGTGTTTAAACCTAAGTTGCCAACATTCTTACCGAAGCTAACTGGGTAAACGGATATCCTATTTGAGGTAGTGTAATGACAATCTTTTAAGTTTTAAGGGGCGAAGTTGTGTTGCATCATATCTAAAGTGGAATCAGGGTTAAGAAGAGTTTACAAGCCAAGCCCACAAAGATACCCGCATATTTCTTTAAACCCAAGATAGCAAAACCCAGAATAGTATCATGCATACACTTCACGACCTAATATAATATGCACTGTGAAAGATGCATTCCAAAAGGTGTTCTAACTTCCTCATTGAGGATGACCAAGGGAAATTATCATCATGCACGATTTTAAATAAAGTGACAAGTTTTTCAATACTTACAAGCGACGTTGCAGAAGCTTGATATTTTTTAGGAGAAACTTCTACAGCATATGCCTGAAAAAAGCAATTCAGATTTATTCCAATCATCGAAGTAAGAAAGTAATGAGTGTCTGAAGTAGAAGCACATACTTTGATAGGACCAAGCAGCCCATTTAAAGATCCAAGAAGAAATCTGGTTGAGACTGCCATCCAAAAGTTTGTGCTGAGCCCGAATAGAGTGTTGAAGATTACTCTGCAATACACAGTGCAAGAAGGGATCCCATGAAAAACTATTCTCAAGAATTCTATAAAAGGATGATTCAGGAATACGAACACTGAACTGACGCTAAACACAATAACTGGCTTTCTTCCATATTTGTCAGCTAAAATCCCCCATAAAAAGGCTGTCAAAGCTCTTCCAACCATAAAAGAAGATCCTTTGAAAAAAAATAAAAAAAATTATTATATCAGAGGAGAAGCAAAACTTTAGATAGCTACTGAATCATTTTAGTTGAAAACCATAACCTGCTTTATATCCCTGAGAGAACAATCACAAAAATCTTACCAATATAACCCGCATAGAAACCAATATCTTCCTCCTTCGCAATATTCAGGTCTCTAACCTATCCAAAATAATGACCAAAAAAGTTACAAATATTTAGTATTTAGGCATACAAACATTCATTCATCGGAGCAAAATTCACAGGAAACCCAGGAAAATGACAGTCCGAAAATCAGCTGAAAAACTGTGATTCGTAAAACACTTGAGAGTATTGCTGAAACTGATTAAATTCGATTTGAAGGAAGTAAGTGAAACCTGTAAATATGATACGTACCATGAAATATAAGAATGGAAACAATGATGACATTGGCAGGGCTGAAAAGACAAACCACAAATTTTAGGGACAAATAGGAGGACATACGGTAAAAGAACATACCCACAAGAAAAAATGGCATCATCTTATGAATAGTACAGAGCTGAGTTATACGAAAGGGCTTTGATAGTGAAACCTCATTGTTCCGCAAGTTAGAAATAGATCCACATGAACATTTCCGCTACTAAATAGTGCTAGTACATGAATCAAAATTATAACAACTTTAAAAAGAAGGATCCCAACATTCTCGTGAATAAACAAATGAAAGATGTAATGTTTCGGCCTTGTCATTATCTAGAGGTGGAAAGAAAAATCTATATTCCAGGCAGAGAAGAATAAAAGAGAAATTGACTAAAATTTTAAACAAATACAAAGAAGATCATTCCCTGCTCAACAAAGTTACTGTGATAGTCTAGCCAATTGAAAGATCTTAACAAAAAGGCGGAGTAAAGCTAGAAGAATGCGTACACTAGGTAGAAGAAGGTTTCTTATACCATATAAGATGATACTCCATGCTGCATACTGGGTAGAGAGGCTATGAAAAGCCAAATAAACAAGTACGAGACACCATCCTAATCTGGCAAAGTAATCTGAAACTCCACCTTCGTTTCTTTTTTATTGACCATTCAGGCTTCTGAAAATTCCATGCAGAAACATGAAATAATTTTTGAAAGTGTCACGGAGGGTGACAGATAATGGAATCTACTGACGTTATTCAGACACCTTAGAGAGAGGCCAGGAATTTAACAACACCGAATGGGTATCCGAGGGATCAACCCCAAATACATTTGTACATGCCTACTAGCCGAAATCAAGGTCCCTCACGACTGATCAGATGACGAAAGAGAGTCTGAGACAAGTCTGCCGCATTCGTCAGAAGGAAAGTAGGCCGAACGGAACCCAAGAAGAATGTGGTGTGCGAGGTCAAACAAGTCTGAGAGCCGCGACGCCAAAAGTAGAAAGAAGGAAAAAGAAACTTCGCAGACGATGGAACTCGCAGTCGGAAGGCGATCCTCAGAAATGGGAGGATTTGTGTGTCTACCCATAATTGCGGCTTCTTGAGACAGAAGAGACGCGAGAGAAGAAGAGAGACGTATTGCCCGATTCTTCTTACCTGTGCAGAGGGTGACGAGCCAAACGTACAGGAACTCCTTGAAAGGTATCCCTTTCCTGCTCGCCTTCCACCGATCCACCCTACATCCGGGGCAATCTTCATGGTACTCCTCCAAAAACGGTGCCAACGCTTCATTCTCTGGCATTGCTTAAGCAGGGAGGATCCAAGACGCCCCGAATTCCCGCGAGGCGATCTCCTGCCCTGATCCCTCAGAGAGATGTAAACAAGGAGACGGTGATTCCCTCAGGTCAGCTTGGAGAGCACTGATGGTGGCGCAGCAGGCGGCAAGGGCAACATTCCCTTCTGTCCCTTGTCCAGTCGACGAGGACGCCCCCTGCGAAGCTGATTAGCAGCAACCTGCAGAAATACTGCTTCGTCTCCCCTCCTCCGCTTATACCTGCCTCGTTCATCACTGCGCACATGACTTTCCCTGCTTACTGCGACTTCAGAGAGAGGGAGAGAGAGAGAGAGAGAGAGAGAGGAGAGAGAATCGAGGGCGAGACGGAAAGCGCCTCCGTGCATGGCTGCCAGGGACGATCCAGTTTCTTGATTTAACAAAAGCCCTTGTGAAAATAATAATGGCAGATCGCCAAATTTTAACATGTTGCGTTGTTACCCTGCAATTCTAATGAATTACCAAAAACCTGTCTGTCTATACATCCCATGCATATTGTTATCATAATTTTGTACTATTAGTGAGTACATATATGCCAAAAGCTGCCAGCTAAAGAGAACAGTGGAATGAGAAGAGTAGAGTGTTGACCAAGGTCCACAGATTGAGAATGTTCGATTTGACTCATTTTAGTTGATCCATTTATCCTTGGTTGACCCCATTCTAGGGATTAGATCCTCATTTGACTTTTCTCTAGTCAATCCAGATGTAGGGATTAGTTCTCTAATTGACTTGATTCTAGTCCAAGAGATTTGAGCTGCATAACGGGGCCAATAAAAGAAAAAATCCAGCCTTCAAGTATATGCGATAGAGGTGAAAAAGGATGTTAGTACAATTACACTCCATTGGCCATGGAATCTGCAAATGAGTTAAAAAAAGTGGAGAATTGCAGGAAAATATTACAAGTCAACGCTCGCGGTCGATTCGACGGTGTCCTCGTGAACATGATAAGACGGCAAAACGTTATGGACGTTCTGATCGGAGAAGATGAAATCCAACCAAATATCTCCAAGTTGGTGATAATTAAGTGCAACATTTGTCATTATATTAAATAAATGTTCCACGGAAACTTATTTAATTGTATTTGCATTAATTACATAGACTTTAAACTATATTTATTAGTTAATATTAATTGACCTCATTAGACATGCCCCCCTACATGCCTTTTGCTGTAATTTTTATTCAGCATCAAAGAGTAGATAAATTACGCTCATAGATAACGAAATAGTTAATTAATTTATGCAAAAAATTATGTACTTATTTTTCATTTTGAAAGCCCAGTATATACTTTCATTGAACTTATAAACACAGTGAAGACTTATGATTGTTTGGATAGTTAATAGTTTGCACTTTCTCGCCTCTACCAAAATTATATTTGTGATCATAAAAAATATCTAATGGACATGTAAATGATGACTAGTAAGCCCTAGAGAGAGAGAGAGAGAGAGAGAGAGAGTAATTAAGATGAAACCACTTAATCTTTCGTGTCATTTAAAGCTACAATTCATTACCAAGGAAATACGCGCTTTATACTATGGGTTACACCACTGCTTAATGTTCAATGCCCATGCGCATGCATGACTACCAAAGCCAACTTACTGAAAGGTGCGCCGTCTTACCTTAGTGACGCTTGTACCACCACACCTATGTTGATCCCACTTTATACCATGCCATGTGCTTTCATAAATGGTCATCTCCCTACATTGTGACTATCTTTACTGCCACAAGCTCAATCAATCTCATGTGTCGACTTATGTAGACACGTAGCTATGCCTACAAGTCACCCATTCCCTACATCTGTACTCGCTAACTAGGCGAAATCAAGGTCCCTCACGGCTGATCAGATGACGAAAGAGACAGTATGAGACAAGCGCACCGCATTCGTCAGAGGGGAAGCAGGCCGAACGGAACCCAAGAAGAGAATGGTATGGTGTGAACAGGCTTGTGAGGTCAAGCAAGTCTGACAGCACCGCGACGCCAAAAGTAGAAAAAGAAGGAGAAAGAAACTCAGATCATACTCCGCAGGCAATGGAAATGGGAGGATTTGTGTGTCTACCCACCCATAGCTGCGGCTTCTTGGGACAGAAGAGACGGGGGAGAAGAAGAGATACGTATTCCTCGGTTATTCTTACCTGTGCAGAGGTCGGCGAGCCAAACGCACAGGAACTCCTCGGAAGGCATCGCTTCCCTGTGCCTCATGCATCTCCACTTTCGCTTCTGGTTCCTCATGCATCACTGCGCACGTCACTTTTCCCTGCCCACCGCGACTTCACAGAAAAGAAAGAGACAAGAGAGAGATATGGAGAGAGAGAGAGAGAGAGAGAGGCGTTCGTGGATAAGTAGGGATGACTGGGAGCGGCCTCGTGCAGGGGGTGCCACTTGGCGGGAGTAGTTGGGGGCCAGATCTAGCTGCTTTATTTTCAAAAAGCCCCTTTGAAAATAAATAATGACACATAACTCATTTCATTTTCTCCTCTTTTTTCCCCTGTGACTGCAACCGAATCACCGAAAGACTCCTCTTAACGGAGTCCCTTACCTTCACGCATTCCATGCATATTTTTATGATTATTGTATTATTATTAATGGTTACATATATGATAAATATTAAATCTAAACAGAGCTCGTCAAATGCTGCCAGCTGAAAAGAGTAGTGGAATGAGAAGTGTAGAGAGTTGATCAAGGCCCACAAGCTAAGAGTGTTCATGTTTGACTCGTTTTACGGGGACAAGTTGATTCTGGTTGACCCATTTTCCAGGGATTTGGACTCTTATTTGACGTGATTCCAGGGACTAGGTCCTCATTTGACCTTATTCAAGTCAATACCAATGTAGAGATTAAATCATGAGTTGACCTGATTCCAGTCAATTGAGATTTGAGCTGCATTGGGGTCCGATCCAAAGGTATACATACAGCCTTAGGGTCTCAGCTAACTTCATTTCTGGGGAGATTGTGCCGGTCGTCTAAATATGAATTTAGAAGGAGAAAACAACTATAGAAAAGGATGTTACTACAATTACAATTCACTGGAGATGGAATCTGCAAATGAGTAGAAAAAAGCGGAGAATTGCAACCAAGTCCTTTCTAGTCAACGTCCTTGGTCGATGCGGAGCTGCAGGTAGATGCTGTGGTCGTTGTGCCCTACCACAAGACGACAAAAATGGTCAGCGTATCTTTAGATAGAAAAAGAGAAGAGAAAGTCAGATTAATTATTTGTCTCTTGCGAAGTCGTCGGCAATAAATTAAAATATAACATTAAATATAAAACTTTAAAATTTATTCGCAAAAATCCAAAATGTAGAGAAATATTTAATATTGAATACTATTTGTGCACATTAGGCATAACCCTACATGTCTTTCGCTCTGGGTTTTATTCAGAATGCACAAGCAAATATTTCCTTTAAAAATTGTGCATTTATAAATATTACTCTAGAAAATAATGAAATAATCAATTTATTTTGTAAAAAAATTGCATTTATTTCCCGTTTTGAAATACCCAGTCTATATTTTATTGGACCTACAAATCTTGCAAAGATTTTGCTGTTTCCAGTTTGACCAATCCAGATCGTCCAAACAGGCCGTTTAATGAGCAATCCAAGAAATAACGTCACGATTCTAAGGTCAGAGATCAGAGGATTTTCACACAGAGACGAAGTTGCATCACGATGGGGTTTCTGTAGCCGCCCAAGAGTATGAGATCACGATGAGCAACATTCATACACCGATTAGATAGAAAAAAATAACAAGAAAACAGGTCAGTCAGCTAAAAAACAACATAGAAAACGAAAAAGAAGAGATTAAAAAGCGGTTCGATCAAAGTTCAAACGCCAGGGGCACAGGTGAAGACCCGATGAATCTAACCGCCCAACGCGGCAATCTACGGGCTAACAAGCCCGTAGAAGGAGGATAAAATTAAGCGCTGCACTGGAATCATGTTACACATCAATTATCCACCACACTGTTCCGTAGGAGAGAAACAGTAAAGTGAACAGAAGAGCTCTCTCTCTCTCCCTCCCTCCCTCCCTCCCCTCCATTCTGGGCTACGTAGAAGGAGGCTGGTTTCTTAGAGTTAGGAACGCTCTGAAAGTCAAGAGAATGCCAAGAAGCTCAACTACGTTCAGTGCAAAGAAGACCACCTGATCACCTGCATGACAGAAAGATGAGGCTCGCGTTGATACCATGATTCGAGATAGCTATAAGGACCCAGCAGCTCAACTATGAACACAGTGAATGCTCAGATAATCAGCCGACTTCTAGTTAGATAACATCAATTGTGAAGTCGAATATATATATATATATATAAGCACATTTTATATGTTGATTTGAAGGAAATTTCTGGACCATTACCTGGAAGAAACGAAGCAGTCTGACGTTTCTGGGCCCAAGAAAGTCTGCATACAAGCAAATTTAGGACTGAATCAAACCATCAGCGTAATTCCTTTTTTTTGTGATTTTGGGTAATCAAATTAGCATTCCTATTAATTTTTCGATAAATAACTCTGAAATCACAATGTTTTTATCCTGAATAGCATCACCAGCGCAAAGCATAAATCACTCAACCAGGAAAATTCATGAGTCCTCCCAAATAAAGTAATCTTATTTGGGACTGCGACCAGCACGGCAAAAAAGAATGCGTTCTTTAATATGAAGAGAATAAAACTTATCCCCAGGTTAATACATAAATGAGTAGGAATGGGAGAGGGACATACTCTGTTATCAAAGAAATAAAATAGCTAACTAAATTTATTAATTTCTACGTCAACAATGCCCTCTTTCCATATTGTGCCTCTCAACTATGATATGATATCCCTAAAGACATGTTCATTATAAGAGAACAATCTAGAAGCTTCTATAGTAAACACTGGGACAAAAATAGGATGAACAATATTATTCGAAGTTCTAGATCACAGGGAAATAGTGTAATTAGTTGAGGGTATTTTCAAATATGTATTATCACTCCTTTTATTATTACTCAGAGTTGAATGAATTTTGAGGCGAGGTTTTATTTCTTCATTTCAAAATGGTATCAGAGCACTTCATCCATCTGTCATCTGATAATATATCTGAGTTCATCAGCAGCCGGTTCGTCAACAACATCTTCAAGTTCATTGGTGTCATTTCTGTCTCCATCAAGCCTTCTGTCTAGAGGTTGAAATGACTAGATTCATTACCATTGTTTCCATCTTCATCAGCGTTCTTGAGAGAGGTAAAATCAGCCTCTCTAATCTACGCTTATCTCAGTCCAGTGTCGTACTCATCCTCCTCAGTCCATCTCCCTTTGTTCTGCATCAATTCTTTGTCTTCGCTAGTCTGACAGCCAAAGTTCTTCACAGTCCATGTTGCTACAGTTCATGTTGTCTGGTGCTGTCTGCTCACCCTCTGCCTTCGTCGAAATGGCCTTCACCTTCCAGTTCTTCCACAAGTTCATTACTTGATCAGTGGGAGGGGTGCTGGCCTACACCTCTCCTGAGAGCTGAGCCCCATCATCACATCAATCGTCATAGTTGAGAGCCTTTGCATCAGATCTTGGCACTATGCAGATCTTGCCACTCTGTCAACTACTTCATGGCTCCCAGGCAGGCTCTGCAGCCTTGGGACATAACGAGCATCATGATCAAGTCAAAGGTGTTTGGTGCTATCATATCCATGGTGAGCAGTCCTTGAGAAGCATCAGATGAGCCAAAGGTGTAAGTGAATCCACAACTTCAGTGGCAATCATCTTTGACTACCATCAAAGGAAGAGTTGCTATCACAATGGATTTTCTTCATCACCAACTTAGTTAAGATGATCTTTTTCAAAGTTCATCTTAAGAGGGAATGTTGGAAGTTCTAGGTCATAGGGAAATAGTATACTTAATTGAGGGTGTTTTTGCAAGAAAATATGTATTTTGTTACTCCCTATAAATGAGGGTTAGAGTTGACTATATCTTGAGGCAACATGTCAAAAATACAATACATCTTCACTTGTTCTTATAGGCCTCCTTCAGTGCCTGCACACATTTGAGAGGACTTAACTATAGATTTCTTGGAAGGATTATCTTGATCAAAGGGGTTTTATTTCATATTGGTTGTTGTAGACATATTGAGCAAGTACAGTCACTTTATTCCACTTAAACATCTATTTTCAACTCTTAAAGTTGCACTCATCTTTTCTAAGTGGTACGACTTCATGGGATTCCAAGATCAATTATCTTAGATTGCAACAAGCATGTTACCAATAATTTTTGGAAGGAACTATTCAAACTACAAGGTGTTGAATTAAAAATGAGTACCACATACTACCCTCAATCAATAGGCAATAGAAGGTCATGAAATAGGTACTTGAGAACTTACTTAAGATGTTTTGCATCCAATAAACCCAATTGATGGAGTAAATGGTTGCATTGGGCTTAGTATTGCTACAACATTACTTTCCATTCGTCTCTCAAGACAACCCCATTCAATGTGGTTTATGAATGAGATCCCCCCACCATCATCAAATATGATATTCTGCCCTTACCTCATTCTATAGTAGATCAACAATTAAAGGATAAAGATCAAATGCTCACTCTCATCAAACCATTATGAAATAGAAGGCTGATAAAAGGAGATTAAATGTTCAATTTATGGAAGGGGACTTTGTCTACCTTCGTCTTTAACCATTCAAGATGAAATCTCTGGCCAAAGAACCAAATGAAAAATTGGCACCACGATATTTTGGACCCTATAAGGCCCTCCATTGTGTCGGCCAATCAGCCTATTGATTGAACATTCCGATCCACTCATTCTATTCACCTAGTGTTTCATGCATTACAACTACACAGGGGGGGGGGGGATAGGACTTCAAGATCGTGTACAACCCTTTCCTTCAAATTTAACACAAGAGCTCGAATAGAGACTTGTACTAGAGTCCTGCTAAGACATTCGACCTACAACAACAGGACCCAAGATCTTTATCAAACGAGTACATCTTCCAAATTTTAAGCGACATGAAAAGTAGTTTCAAAGATCATACATATATTTCCTGACTTCCACCTTGAGGAGAACATAGATTTGAATGTTTGTGATAAGAGAACAGCCTAGAAGCTTCTATAGTAAACACTAGGATAGGAATGGGCTGTACAATATAAATACCCTCCCCTATGAATAAGAGGGGGTATTGTGGTAGAAGTGACACGAGAGGAAAGGAGAGAGAGAAATTCTCTTGAATTAATTCCCACCTGTCCATTGTTTTCCCTACTTTCCTAGAATACATTGCTTGTTTTCCCTTTGTCATTTGAGAGGAAAGAAGGGGTTTGGATCAAACTATTCTTCTGATTCAAAAATTTCTACCTAGAGAGTACTTCCTAGAAAGATAGCAAAGAAGCACTGAAGGTCACATCTATTGAACTTTGGTCGTATTATATTATAGAAGAGATATACCAATAGTCGAAAGAATAGTTAAGACACTCACAATGCACCACCTACTGCTGGGGCTGCAGCTTTGAAGAGAGACATCAAAGTCATAGCTATGCCATTCGCAGCTCCCCTTTGGTGTTGGTCCTGATGTCGGGCGAACAGAATCAAATATTTGGTCTTGAAAGTTTTTTAAGTGGGAGTTTTGTATTGAGTGAACTCAAAAAAATGGTAAATTATAACATATGAGGATAGAAAATTACCACAGCGTTGTTTTGAAGCAAGATCATTCCAGTATTGATGATCATCTAATCGAAATTGAAAATACAGCCTAATGAGAAGTTTAAACCTCAAGAAATGCCAACTCTCACAAAAGATCACACAGCATATAGGATGTTAAATATGGAAGAGAGGTGAGGACAGAGTTTACGTTTATATGATTTTTCGACTGCAATCATCTCATTAGATTCGATGTACATTTGCTCAATTAATCGTATCGGTTATGCCTATCCACGGATATTTTATGCCTTATTGCATAATTTCTGAATCCACTTTCTCACTAAATTTTCACCATTCTCGGAAAATTGAAGCCTTACTACTCAATTCAAGTGTCACATGGAAGAAAACTACGAAGCATTCTTGATGATTTATGCAAACTAGTGCTCCAAAATGTTTGACTTTAGTTCAGGTTTCAAAATCTTAGATTCAGCTTCTGACCATCCCTTGGGGATTATCACACATCTCTCCTGTACCTTTTCCTGGAGGCTGAAGAAACCCTTCACACGAAGGATTCAATCAAACTAACAACCTTAACATATAGATGACGTAGAAATTTTCGATCTTGTAAAAAATGAAATAAAAATTCAGATCATACCAAATGGACCAACTCAACAGCTAAAACATGTTGAACTTGTTGCTCATTGTGGGAACTTCAACATAACAGAGGGACACATGATTACAAGATATTCCTTTTTTGATCAAAATATGAAACTCCTTTACTCTACAAAGCAATCTCTACATGCCATTCTACTAAAAAGAAATCATAGTGTACTCATGTTCTCTACTCACTAAACTATTTCCATTTTTCCCTCCTTGATTATATGTTAAATCTTCATCATGAGTATTGTACGTAAAAAGAAAAAGTGATGAAATGATTTCACCTATTGCACTAGAAAAGAGAAGGGAACCAAAGTTGAGCTGAACTCACAGCCAAAATGTTCTTCAACGAAGATGCGAAATTCACAACCATGAAAAGTTCAACACCAGATAGCATTGCAAAAAGAGGATAACTAGATAGGAGTGGGATTGCCAGAACCTGTAGTGAGAGCCTATAGTGAGATGGAGCCCAAAAAATAAATAACAAGAAACTGTATAATTCATACCCCTGCAATTTGAGATGAAACAACAGGACCAAGCAGTCTTTCAAGGGGAGAGTGCAAAGATAGTTGGAAGACAAGAAGACTAAAGCCTGAGAAAAAAACTCAGTCAGTCCATGTTCCAGAAAAATTCACTTACACAGGGACATGGATTATTAATGAGAAAGTCGGCATTCAAAAATGACTTTATCTAGACCATGAATTTTGCTTTATAAACTGGGAATTCAAAGACTCATAACCGAATGATAAAAAGCTGTGGTAAACAGTCTCATGTTTGACTGGATGCTACACAGTCTGACTGACATGTAGTATATTTATAGTTTCAATGCTCAATGTGCATCAGGATAGTCCGAGTTAAGTTACACTGAAATATTTTAAATCTGCACGTATATTTTTAGGTCTCTTAAAATATATAGTGGAACAAGTCAACGCTGAGCAGAAAGTTGCGATCAAGTACAATTTGAATAAAATTTCCGTCTACATATAAAAACAATACTATGTCTACTTATCTTCTCCAAACTAGTCCTTAGGTGGGAGATAACTTGACGCATGCACCTGTGGAACTCAAGAAATGATATGTGTGGGTCTTTGAGCCACAAAACAGGCAAAGGAACATAGGTTTTGATACCATATTAAAATATCCTTCTGAAACACAATGTCAAATGCCCGATCTATTTAAAAGCAATGAACATTCGCGACAACATCCTTGAACATCTCTGGAGCATCTACTAGGAGAGAGCGTCAATTTCTACGGAGCATCTGTTCCTGCCCTTCACTTTGTACCTGCTAGCCTCAAGTCATGGGACAAAGGCTATAATGTCCACCTATATAGGCCTTTCAATGATTGTTCAACATGCATTAATTAAATAGTATCATTATGGCGCATCCAACATAAAAGAACCCTATTGAGTGATTTATTGCGTGTAACATTTCCTTACTACTTGAAAGTACTGATGTGGGAGTACTCCAGTAATTAGGAGAATGTCATGTGCCTGAACAGGTAGGCAAGAGAGTAAGATGGCACTGCAAGTGTCAACTGAAACCCAATTAGTCTTTAGCTGGATACCCAAAATATAAATACCTACCCAGTACTACAGGCCAATAATTAATATTTCGTTCATACTTCAAATATGCAAAGTGAACATCCCGAAATAATCGCAAAGAAAATGAAATGCCTAGATCAATAAAATAACATAATTTATTCCCACGAATTCTTTTCACCAATTCCAAACATATAGCATAACAGAAGTTTGAGTAGCAGAATCACATAATGGCTTTCTAGTAGTCATATTGACCGAGGAGGAGGTGAAAAGCATATCATTACCGGAAATTTTAAAAAAAGCTGTTAACTGAGTGAGGAAATGGGTCGTATGTTCCCAATGTATGATTTTAGCTTTCCCAATATGAGTAAAAATCCAACATTATCATTATCCTGAGACCAAGTATACCTGATACTGCAAGCACTTGGCCAACATCCTTCGTGGAAAAGCTCAGACCTCCATATTTTCTATCACTTTCAGCCCAAAGGGAGAAAATCTACAAAATTAATGACTTCACGTAAGAATCATACGGTTAATAAACAAAAATCTATCATCACCATACTGTTCACATGGACATACTACAGCTTCATCATTATGAACAATATGCAAGTTACTCTGTGTGTATGTGTATGTGTGTGTGTGTGGGTGTGTGGGTGTGTGGGTGTGTGGGTGTGTGGGTGTGTGGGAGGGCGGTGAGAGGTACCTCAGAGTAAGCCATATCATGAAAGGAGAAAATACAATAAACGGCAATGGATGACATCAAGACTGCAATGTAAAAAAATCACTTGCCCACTAATCTATATTTACTAAAATGGAAAAATATTCCAGACACTATCCGTCTCATCACAAAAACATAATGACATAAAATTAAGATAAGGAATTTAAGTTGACATATTTTCATTCAAAACTTTAAAGAAGATAAATCTATGAGGAAAAATAATATTAGAAACTAGGGTTAACTAGTTTTAGGTCCCAATAAACTAGGATTTAACAGCCGACTTCTAGTTAGATAATCATTAAATGTGAAGTCGAATATATATATATAAGCACATTTTATATGTTGATTCGAAGGTTATTTCTGGATCATTACCTGGAAGAAACGAAGCAGTCTGACGTTTCTGGGCCCAAGAAAGTATGCATACAAGCAAATTTAGGACTGAATCAAACCATCAGCATTCCTATTAATTTTTTTGTGATTTTGGGTAATCAAATTAGCATATCCTATTAATTTTGTTGATAAATAACTCTGAAAAGCACAATATTTTCATCCTGAATAGCATCCCCAGCGGAGAGCACAAAACCACTCGACTAGGAGATTCATAAAATCTCTGCCTTGAGAGTACTTCCCAAAAAACAAAGCAAACAAGTACCCAAGGTCACAACAGTTGGAAATTTCGGCTGATGAGAGCACATGTTGGGATTCAGCCCATATTTTTCTATGTTCAGGGAGCGAAATACCAATTGGCAAAAACAGTGGTTAAGGTACTCACAATGCACCTCCGCCTGCTGGGGCTACAGATTGGAAGAGAGACGTCAAAGTCATAGGTATGCCATTCACAGCTCCCCTTTGGTGTTGTTCTTGATGTCGCACGAAAAATAATCAAATATTCGGTGAAATAAGTTGCTAAAGTTGGAGTCCTGGATCGAGGGAACATATAAAAAAAATGACAAATTAGAAAATTACCACAGCGTTGTTCTGAAGAATGGTCATCCCAATGGTGATGCTAATCTGTTCGAAATTGAAAATACAGCCTAACGAGAAAACTTAAAAATATCAAGAAATAAAAATTCTCACAGAAGGTCACACAGAACATAGGATGTTAAATATGGAAGAGAGGTGAGGACAGACAGTTTTCTTTTATGGGATTTTCCCACTGCAATCATTTAATGTATATTTGACCAATTAATAGTATCGGTTATGTCTATACATGTATATTCAATGCTGTATTGGGTATTGTCCGAATCAATTTTCTCACTGAAATTTCACGATTCTCGGAAAATTGAAAATTTCCTACTCAATTCAAGCGTCAGATAGAACAAGACTACATGAGTAAGTATTCTTGATGATTTGTGCAAACGAAGGCTCCAGCATGTTTGACTTTGGTTCAGGTTCTGACCGTCCCTGGGGGATTATCACTCATCTCTCTTGTACCGTTTCCAGATTTAATTGGAGGCTAGAGAAACCATTCATGCGAAAGATTCAATCAAACTAACACCTTGACATAGAGATGGCGTAGAAAAGTTTCGATCTTGTAAAAAGGGAAATAAAATTCAGATCACACCGAATTGGCCAACTCAACAACTAAAACATGTTAAACTTGTTACGCATTGTGGGGACTTCAACATAACAAGTGACACATGATTACCAGATATTCCTTTTTTGATCAAAAATATGAAAACTCCTTTACTCTCAAAAGCAATTTCGACATGGCATACGACTAAAAAGAAATCATGACGTACTCTTGTTCTGTACTCACTGAATTATTTACATTTTTCCCTTCTCCATGATTACATGTTAAATTCTTCATCATGAGAATTGTTCGTGCAAAGAAAAAAAAGTGATGAAATGGTTTCACCTATTGCACTAGAAAAGAGAAAAGAACCCAAGTTGAACTGTGCTCACTAACAAAATGTTCTTCAACAAAGAGGCAAAATTCACAGCCACGGAAAGTCCAACGCCAGATAGCTTTGCAAAAAGGGGATAAGTGGATAGGAGTGGGATTGTCAGAATCTGTAGTGAGAAGTATCTGTGAGATAGAACCCAGAAAAAAATTGCGAAATTGAAAATAAATGACAAGAAACTGCATAGTTCATACCCCGGCAATACGTGATGAAACAACTGGACCAAGCAGTCTTTCAAGGTGAGGGTACAAAAATAGTTGGAAGACAAGA